AGCACTCTTTCACCAGCACAGTACCGCCCACCTAGCTGTCCCATGCCGGCACAGCCAGTGCAGTAGGTCCTTTCCATCCCTCGACCTCCGGGGCACGTGGGGCATTAGCAGCGGAGGGCAAGGCAGCCGGACCACTCCTCCCTCGCTGGTGCCACTAGATGTGACACGCGCTGCAGCTTCCCACGGGCACCTTCAAATCCTGATATGCTTTCTTCAGGGGGGTTACTACCCTGGTGACATTCTTTTCAATCGTGCTTTCTAGGGGTCTTTGCGACAAAAAAAACCACCTTCTCTGGCATTCTAAGTGAATTTTCTTGTTGTTTGCCTCTCACTCTCAGGTACGGCTTCACGTAAAGCTACAGCTAAAATGAATTTCTTGATGCTCCGGAGAGGAAGTCCTGGATGCCTTGGTTTGGGGGCAGCTGAGCTGGGGATGGAGCAGTGTTGCAGATCTCCTACAGGGATAAAAAGAGAGGAAGGGCAGGGGAAGCTTCCCATGCTGGGCAGCGCTGAGAGCTGCAGCACTCCTGCTGCAGCAGAAGAGGCCGTAGTGGAAGATACGGCACCCTGGGAGCATCCATCCCACTTCGCTGCTGCCGCTGGCCTGGGGGACGCAGATCCACAGGGCAGGAAATCTTTGAGGCCCAGCCGAACCAAGGAAAGGAAAAAAGAGAGTCTTGTGTAAGCAGGGTTTACTATTCCTGGCAACTGGTAACTGCGTTTCTGCTACACTGCTTAATGACTCCCAGATATTTCACACCTCTCCTTCCGTTCCCGGAGTTTCCCGTCTCAAAGTGGTGACTGGCTGTTTACAGGCAAGGATCAAAAGAACTCTGGTTTAAAGCAGATGGTTTATTTCAAAAGCATATCTGGCTGTAATATTTTTTTAAAAATACACTACAATAGTTCATAACAGTACCATGTGCTTGGAGCATGTATCCAAATTAAAAGCTTTGCCACACTCAAAATCGTACCCCCCCCAAAAAGCATAATGAATGTCACCTGTGGTATGAGAATAAAAGTTAGGCATCCTCTCTCCCTCCAAAAAGCACAAGTTTTAATGAGTAACTTCTCTTTGCTTCTGTGTGAGTCAGCTGCACATATAGGACTTGATAACCATTTCCAAATCGGTAGGAATTAGCCTCAACTGGCTGAAGTGCCAGCAGGGGAGACACGCGTTTGGCACTGAAGACAAGTCCCCTGGCTCGATCACTAATCTGAGCAGTGTTCCACAAGGAAAATAACTGAATACC